AAATTCTCTCTCTGAAGAAATACATTTCAACTAAGAATCTTTACGACTTATAAAAGAAGTTTCACTTAGAAAATATATATAAACATATGTGTGTGTGTTTTTTTTTCCACATGGCCTTTGATCTTGTCGTAAAGCTTTAGTGCTGTGAACAGTGAGGTTTAAGGTAACCGACAAAGTGGTCTCACCAGTGAGGCAAAGTTGTGTCAAAAGAGGGCTTAATTGTTTAAAAAAAAAAAAATTCTAAGCAAAAATTCACCTCAAAACCCATAAGGTTTCTAAATACATTTTGAAGCATTTAGAAGAAAAGAAGTCCTTTTGTGTTTGCTCCATGTTCTGGAAGAGCAAATAAAAAATGTTACTTTGTTTGTTAACTCAGTGGCCACTCGGCAATCCTCAGGCTGAATGCCCGTGGATCGATCATCAGCTAAGCATGTGGATGAGTTGTGTATAGATTATTATAATCATAAAGTTATACCACAGTCTGTCGGGAAATACTTGTGATAATTAGTTTGGAAATATAGTTTAGTAAAATTAAACATAATTTCAAGGAAGAGAAAACATTTTCATGAAGGTTTTCTTCATTAGAAAGGTGACATCATCCCAAGTAATTTAATTATTGTTGATTTATTTAACAAACCTCTGTAAGTCAGGGTGGGCCTGCCTTGCTGTGTTGGTCTCCTGACCTTCTTCACATTTCATACATCTGGATGCATCCAGCCTTAGTGACAAAAGTTGATTATGCTGAATCCAGATGTCCACCTTAAGAATACACATCTCTCTCATTGTTTTTTTTTTTTTAACATAGTGTGTGTTTTTAACTGTCTCATGACAAATAGATTTACTTTTTAATCACCACTGTTGGGTAAAATTTACTATCACCTGAGTTCTATCCATCAGATTTGAGGGTACAACTCATGTGAAGAGGTAAATGGGGAGATGGTGAGGGGAAGTTTGGTGGAATAGGAACCCCAAGTTTGTAGCTTGTTTAGTTATCACCACAATTTCATGACCCTGTCATTTGAAAGTCAGATGACTCAATGGTGTCACGTAATGTATGACTAGAAGACACAGTAAGGAATATTCCCAGGACACAGTCAATTTCTCCCTTTTTTTCGTGGAAAAAGAGTTCACGGAAGACAACCAAGCAGTAAATATCCTAAAGATAGTCAAACAGATTGGAATATAATTTTGTTCAGAGCTATTCAAAAAAACCTCTACTATGTCTCAATATAGGTAGCCTGTAGAAAGTTCCCAGGTGAGGATTTATCTTCTAAATGTAGACTTGTGGGTCTTTTTAGCTAGCGAATTCAAACCACCAAAGGAAGAGGTCAAGAAGAATGAATGAAGTTAAGAGAATTGACGAGCTGAGTATCACTGTTGGGATTTTGTTTCTTATACGGCTTGCATTTGTGCTTTGAGATTTTGGGGCCTAAGAAAGCCATGCTGTTCCAGGAGCTTCCCAGAAGTATTTTTGGAACAGGCCACACGGGCTCCGGAAAGAGAATGCATACTATTTCCAGGTGCTATTGTAGAATCATTATTCATTTAACAAAAGTGTGGTCTTTTCAGCTAGAAATTTTAGTTCCATAATTCACATGGACTAAAAATATTCTGGAGTATAGCTAGAAAAAGTGTTTCGTATGTATCAATATGTTGTTTTCTAGCAATATCCCATTCTGGATTAAACATAGAGGAAAACTTTCCTGTTTCTCTGTAGCGTGAGCTTTTAAATTGATATATGTGTATGTGTTTTAAGTGAATTGTGAAAATCAGCCCAATATAAAGTCAGTTATAAAATAGTTCCCTTTGTTTCCAAATTATCTGTGTAATATTTACACCAAGGATGAATCGATTAAAAAAGCCAAGTATATGAGGAAGGCCTTCCTGTGTCTCTATAATATATGATCATTGTTTTATTTATCACCAGTTCTGGAGTGTTTCTCAATGCCAAGTCCAGAAGTGAAAGATACAGTTTTAACTTAGAGTGCTGACACCTAGCTAGGGAGACAAACAAGGTAACAGAAGTCAGTGTGACAAGTGACAGGATACAGGTGAGCTCAGGCCTCTGGGAGGAGCAGCGTCGCGAGTGGCCTGAGGGCAGAGGAGGTGAGCTGGGCTGGAGGACCACAGGGGAGTTGGCAGCACCGGGGCAGCCAGAGGGGGCAGGATGTGCAAAATAAGTGTGAGCGGCAACAGTTCATGCTCAGGGTTGTTGGCTTCTCACAGAAAGTAAGAAGATCATACATTTTATTTTGTCAGTTTAAACATTGGACAGCCTCTTCAAAAGTGATCTTCTTTTCGTACATTTGTCGAAGTCAGGAGCAGGAAAGGGTTGAGGAAGGGCTGTCTTATTCCACTGCCTTTGCTCTTGCAACTCAGTGACATCCCTGAAGCCTTTGACCCCGCATCGTTCATGTACACGGGAAACACGTTTTTCAATAATAAGCATTTTCTCAGGGAGTTTTTTGTTTCCACTTTCACAAGTGTCTCATCTCTTTGTAGCAACAAACCTTGCTCTCTGAGCTGTACTGAAGGTTCCTACTTTTCTTTCTTCGGTGTCGAATTAGGAAAAATGGAGTAAAAGCTGCAAGATTACTCATTGAACATACTATTTTTTACTTAATTTCAAATAGCGTCTTCCCTGTAGGTGTAATAAAGATCTGCGCAAGTTAGAGGAAGGATAATTTTCAGTGTTCCTTTCACATTTAATCTTACATTGAGGATCCTCGTATTTTACCTGTAAATGCTCAATTGGTAAAGCAGTTAAACTTTAATGGTAATTCATAATGGATTTCTGCAGCCACTTTTCTTTTTTAGTTCACATAACTAGAAAAAAAATAAGGGACTTAAATTATGTCATGTTAAAATTGTCCTTTGTATTCAGACCATAAAAGCAAAAACGTTGTATATTTTTAGTACGTAGGGATCATTAATGGAAACAGTCACTTCTGTTTTCTGTTGTCATTTTATATTTGGTGTGTGCTGTTCCTCTGTGAATCTTCCTCTTAAAAGTTATATTCTTGTATGAGTTCCTCAATAGACTATAAACTATAAACATAGTCCCTCAGAAAATAATTATTGATAACTTCATTTGAATTGAGGATAAGAGAAAATAAGGTCTTTCTAAAGCCCCGGTGCCAAGTAAGAATATATATAAGTAAATGGTAAAGAAAAAAAGAGTTTAAGACCTGGAGCCTGATGATTTAGATTTAGATTTAGATTTAGGTTTAGATTCTGGTTTTGTTTCTTTTTAACTCGGACAACTTCATTATCTAGTGACCTTCACTTTGCTTTTCTGTAAAATGTGATGGATATTATCTGTGCTTATACCCACCTACCCATCTACCTGCCTAATTAGACAGGGATTTCCTTAGCATTTAAGTATGTGAAAGAGCCTTGAAACTAAATGTGTTCTACAAATACTAGTTGCTATGGCAACGACTTACCAATGTACCAAATATGATTCTTAAAATGAGAGGCAGTACATGTATGAAGTTATATTCTACATAAACTACGTAGCACAGATTAGTGCCTAATAGGCATTCACCAAACAGGGATCCGCTTTCCCTCTTTCTCTCAGCTTTTCTTTCAAGCCTTGTTATTTCTCATTTGTCCCCATTTGCTGCTACACTTTTCTGCTGTTCTGGGTGCTTTCGAATTCACTGATGCTCTGGTTCTTCTTCCTGCATGCACAGTACCCAGAGAGGCAGTCAGACGTCAGGCAAATTTAGTAACCTCCTTCTTAGTTTGGACATTTGATTGTATGCACATTCTAATTTTAAATTAGCACATATATGGGTGGATATTGGCTTTATATTCTATAATAATTTAACTCATTTATAGCAGTGGAATTTGTTGAGGTACAAATGTTTACCAGTTTTATGAATAAAAACCCATATCATATTTGTTTTGTAAACAACTTCAACTGAGTACTATATTTTTTATTTGTATGGTTTTTCACAAAATAATGAGCAGTTATTTTCATTGTTTATAATAATGCCTGAAACTTATTAAGTGCTCATCAAATGTCAGTGATTGACAGAAACGAAATCATTTAATCCTCACAATACTTTGCGGTATGTCTTAATTATTATTTCCCCATTTTACAGATGGGGAAACTAAGCCACAGAAAAGATGTCCGGAGACAGGATATTATCACAGTTAAATATGCAGGTCCTTGTTCCTGAGTGCCTGGGTTAATTCTAGTTCCCCTAATTATTATGTGTGCATCCTTAGACAAATTCCCTACACTTTATGTGCATTAGTTTTCCCATCTGTAAAATAGGGAAATAATGACACATACTCATAATGCCGTGAAGATTAAACACTGGCTTTCCTCTGAATGACATTTTAGATTCTCTTAACCATACCTTCAAAAATCTGCCCACATATTGTTCCCTTTTCCTTCTTTTCATTATCAGTAGTATTTTCAATGAGGCAATTCTCGTAGACGATACAAAGTACTCTTTAATGATTTACTAACTTACGTTTTGGTGTTCAGTGTAAACACCATGGAATCCAAAGACAGGCTCCATCACATGAATTTTTGGAGCCTAAGATACTTTAGTTCTCCACATGAGAACGTGATTTCAAATGAAACCCAGTTCTCGGACTTATTTCAAGTGCTTTTCAGCACGCTGAAAGTGTTAAGCCCCAAGTGGCAAGCGTACATGGTACCCATCCTTTATTATGATATCTTTACTTGGCTTGATTGTTAGTGTTCTTTTCCTCATTGTTAAATGCATCTAACAGCGAAATCTGTAACCTAAAATTGTTTCATTGCTAGAGATATTAAAACTGCCCTGGCTTGAAGTCAGAAGCAACTTTATCAAAATCCTAAGACTAAGAGCAATAAAATGTTGCATGTGATTTGAGTCCCTTTAGAAGAGCTTTTGTCATTGAGAAAATAAGCATGGATAAATATTGATTGTGTTTCTGAAAAATGTTTTCTCATTTCAAAAGTCCACCCCAGCTTAGCTGGCTCCCCTCTCTCTTAACAGGCACCAGCATCTTCACCGTGTACGAGGCTGCATCCCAGGAAGGATGGGTATTCCTCATGTACAGAGCCATCGACAGCTTTCCCCGCTGGCGTTCCTATTTCTACTTCATTACCCTTATTTTCTTCCTCGCCTGGCTTGTTAAGGTACTCTAAAAATTAGTACTCATCCAGTCTATGCTTTCTGACAGTTTCTGCAGATCTTTTGTTTGTTTTCAGTTGCCCTCACTCCCTCACGCCCAGTCTTGGTAAATGTGGTTTGTCATTTTCTTTCAGAATGTGTTTATTGCTGTCATCATTGAAACATTTGCAGAAATCAGGGTACAGTTTCAACAGATGTGGGGATCTAGAAGCAGCACTACTTCGACAGCCACGACACAGGTACAGTATCCGCAGATGATGATGTAACCCACTCGAACTGGGCGTGTCCCTCTGCACCACCCTGGAAATTGATGGGACTTGGTGGGACTTGAGAAACCCTGTTATCACCAACTTCTGCAATCAGATTCACTGAGGGAGCTGCTTAAAAATACAGGTGCAAAGCCCCAAACCCAGAGTGACCAAATCAGATTTTCTGGGTGATGGGGCAAGGGCACGTATATTTTTAACAGCCCCATGGGTGGGTTTGACAGAAAACCAGGCTTATCATATTTATTATGTACCTTCGATTTGATTCTACCGTCACATGTCCTCCAAGGACTTGCTGATAAAATATAGCTAACTGTGGAATTCCCCATTTTAAAATATTCACGTAATTGAAACCAATATAATGGCCCTTATGTATAGGATTAGAATTTTTCAGAAGGAAAATTTATTTCATTCAGAATGAATCAATCACAATATAACAAATTATGAAGAAGACCCCTCCATCCCAAATGCATGCCTGTGAATTTTGAGGAATTACTGCCTATTCAGAAGGTTTCCACTATGCTTCCGAGAAATTGGAAGTATCCTAGAATTTGACTAGAAGTGGCATGGCATTTATTACATAAGAGGGCAATTCAGAGCCAATGTCTTTTGTTTTTATTTTTGGTTTTGTTTTGTGTGTTTGTTTTTTGGTGGTTAGAAAGAGGAAGAATAGGTTTATATATCTTCTTCTGGTATAAATCTTAATAAAAGAGAGAGAAAATAAAAATTCCAGAATTGAGAATGAAATTATGTTATGCCTTGCAACTATTGCTTTAATGTTAAATTTTAAGAGAAATTTAACATAAGTTTGTAAATACTTACACGGGTCTGTTAGGACAAAGGTATCTGTGAAAGATCCGAGGTACAAATTTTACTTTGAAAATCTCCAAATTGAACTTTTAATAATTATATTTATATAATTATTACTTTTAAAATAATATATTATTTTTTAAAATAATTGTATTTATGCCTATGTATTAAAATTATAAAGAAAAGGATTCAGGATAGTGGCTTACTGGGAGTGGGGATGAGGAAGCAGAGGAATAAAATTAAGAAGAAGTGCAAAGGTAAAAAAAAATAAAATATTTATATTTAATAGCTAATAGTGAAAATGCTATTAAACATGCTAATATTTGGAAGAGCCTTGTGCAGTATTTTTATGATGTTGTGAAAGTTCGAATGGTCTAGTTCATTATAGATGAAATAGTATTTATATTATTCAGTTTTGTCAAACAGCTATTCAAACTTCCATGAAAGATTTTTTTAAGTGTTATCTAGGTTATGTCACAGATGGCATGTAGGAAAACCTTCAGTGAGCCTGCCACATCTAGTACTCATTTCTTCTCTCATCTTTTTAGTGAACTATGAGAAATCGTAAAGTTCCAAGTCCATTCTGACATGTCTTTTAAATAGAGTGACGGCCTCGTGGAGGTGTGTTTTCCAGTATAGACATTGAGAACGAAGTGGGACATAGAACTATGAACTCCACACAGAATTCACATTTGATATTCCTGAGAGATGACCTAAAATGTCTTTAAAACCATATAGTGCTTATTAAGTAACTCTTATTTGTAAAACCACAGCTGGAAAAGTGGTGTTTGGAAGTGCCACCAAATCAGCCAGCAGTTACAATAGAAAGTCAAATGTGGAGAGACTGTGAACACAGTTGTACAAAATTGCTTTGTTGCAAAATTGTCCTTAATCAGGAGGAATAAGGTGGTAATTCAGACGTAATGCGTCTAGGTATTCAGCAGAGGTAATCACAGAGAGAATTGTGAAAAACCTTCATTAAGAAAAATGCTATGGCTGAGCACCTGGTTGCTAAGCAACCGAAGCTCCAGCAGCAGCCTCTCTGGTAAAACACCACTTGGGCTGCCTGGCAACAGGCCGCAGGCCCCGCCCATCCCCTCGCCAGCCCCTGAGCAAGTGTTCCAGATGCTTTTGTGTGTGTGGAAGGGAGAGGCATCATTTGCCATGATTCTGTTACGTTTGTAAAATCAGACACAGCTCTGCACAAAGGCCCTCTCGTTCGATGGTTTAAAACACTAAATCACAAGTTTCTAATTCTAACAAAACAGATGGGCTTTAGGGAAATAAAATGAAGATGGTTGTGTATTGTGAAGCACACAGCTTTTCAGAAATGAAGTCAGTTCTTGTCTTCCTCTAGTATGTGGGACGTCTGCAGTTGTTCTCTGTAAGTTATCCTCATAGGAGGGCAAAGAGGGTCCTGGGGATGATGGACTTGTTGATATTTCTAAGTCCCTGGACTTTCCAGGGGGCTGCGTGAGTAGAAAGAAAAATTATACACATTAACAGGATAAAGTAGGGGCTTTCCGACACCTTCAGAGGTTCAACAGGAATTGGCTCTGATATGTTAAGAGGCAAAAGAGAATCAGTGATGAGAACTCTTTCTTTAAAATAGCAAAGCAACCTGCCTCAGAGTCACAGCATAGAAACAAATTACAGAAAAATTAATGCCAAAGGTCTTATGGAGACCATAATACAGCAGGTAGCAGGAAAACAAAAGGAGAACAACGTGGAAATTTTCAGATTAGTAGTCAGTAGTTTGCCTGAACTCTGATGGGGAAGGTGACTCTCGTACCTGCATAATCATTTGACACAGGTCACTGTTGCCACATGCTCAGTTATATGTTGGATTAAAGTGCAAGAGATTTGTACATCCAGGATATAATAGCCCCCTGTGTCAACCCACAATAGGACTTCCCATGCTACACATTTGTAGGGGTGTTGCCCCAGAGAAAGGTGTTGAGATGGGCCGATGTGCTAGCGGAACACGTCCTGGGCATCGTGCATGTCCGGTCCAGACTTGCACTTGCACTCCCATTCTCTAATAGACACTTCACCTCAGATACCTGTTGCCAGTCGTGTGGTCTTCTGATCTAGGCTGATTCACAGTAGGAATGAGCTTATCTCACTTTCCCTGGAAGAGAACCGAAAGAACTAAACTTTAGGGCCCTGCAAGGCTAAGTTTTGTATATATAGTGACAAGAGACACAAGGCAGCATCTGGCAATCAATCTGTACCTAACTTTTATATACAAATCATGGCCCCGTAGGGTCATATTGAGGGATGGGTAAGTAAATATTCTGATTGTCTAAAGAGAGCAATAATTTCTGGGTCTGTCATTGTCTCTGACTGAGCACACTTGCTGGCCCATGTTTTCTGAATTAATAAGATACACGACAGATAAGGGTGGAGTTGATAAAAGGACACAGGAATTCTTTCTCCTCTGTAGTTCCATGAACCTTCTCAGAATATGGGTTCCTACAATGCTGGAACAATTTCTGTGCCAATGTGCAATACCGGCTTAAAGGCAGAAAGGCATGGATGAAAAGGCACATGATGGAAAATAAAAAGAATTTCTCCTCCATGAAAAGATGTGTATAATGTAATGCTCCAAAACAAAACTTTAGTAAAAATTTGTTTACTGCGTTCCAAGACTATTGGTTTCCACATGAATATACATCATTAAAATATGTGAGAAAGCAATTTAGTGAAAGCAATTTCTGGGAAGGCTTTGGTAGAAGGTACAATAGTGAGCTCCTTCTAATAAGAAACTATAGTAATGGAATAATACATTCATCATAGGAAGCCATACATGAGAATTATATCTTGTGAGTCTAAGTCATTGAGTATATTATTTAATTAAGAAATCAAGTCAAGTGCCCACCCTCATTATTTTGTGTGATAATGACTATTACCTGTTGTTTTGTTTTGTTTTGTTTTGTTTTGTTTGCGTTACGCAGGCCTCTCACTGTTGTGGCCTCTCCCGTCACGGAGCACAGGCTCCGGACGCGCAGGCTCAGCGGCCATGGCTCACGGGCCCAGTCGCTCCGCGGCATGTGGGATCTTCCCAGACCGGGGCACGAACCCGCGTCCCCTGCATCGGCAGGCGGACTCTCAACCACTGCGCTACCAGGGAAGCCCTATTACCTGTTTTTTAAGATGATTGATTTTGAAAGAACCCAAAGAGCATGGGAATTTCAAAATAAATTTTGGATTTTATTTTCATTACCAAATGTGTATGTGTGTCTTGGGTTTGGAATTTTAATTCAGTTGCTAGTGGTCACCCGTATTACCAAGATCCATTCTCTACCACCTCCCATTAGATAATCTGTTGTTGTTGTCATTGATGATGATATTCTGCCTAAAGTACAATAGAACAATCCGCAAAGCATTCTTAGCAAAATCAAGTGACCCTTTATAAAACGCTGGCAGTTGCAAACAGGCAAGCATGAGATGATTCTCGAGACTGAGACCTCCATGGAGTTCCAAGTGATTGTACTAAGAGGAAAGTGCTCGTGTGGTTATTGGTAATACTCCACTAATTCAAAACACTTTATTACAATAAATCACACATCTTGAGAGCTGCACTAAGCACTACGCTATTGGCTTTACGAGCAATCTTATTTAACCTTCACAATAACATTGTAAAGTTGGTATTATTATTGTCTCTGCTTTGCAGATTAAAAAAGGACAAGGATTGGAAAGTTAATTATTTTATCCAGTATTACATAACTGGTATGTGCTAGAATGGGGGCTCAAAACCAGCTTCCTGGGCTTCCCTGGTGGCACAGTGGTTGAGAGTCTGCCTGCCGATGCAGGGCACACGGGTTCGTGCCCTGGTCCGGGAAGATCCCACATGCCGCGGAGCGGCTGGGCCCGTGAGCCATGGCCGCTGAGCCTGTGTGTCTGGAGCCTGTGCTCCGCAACGGGAGAGGCCACAACAGTGAGAGGCCCGCGTACCGCAAAAAAAACCACCAGCCTCCGCAGCCATAAGAGTCTTCAGTTTTGCTCCCTGAGATCCTACCTCCTTTTAATTTGGTCATTACAGGCCCTGCTGTCAATGTGCTATCTTTTTTCTGGCTTCTCTTTTCTATTAAAACAAACAAAAAAAGGTTTTCTTGTTGACTGAAAGGTGGAGAAAGGGGTACTTTCATACATAATTACTAAGTGTGAATTAGAGCCTCCTTTTTAGAAAATAGTTTGGCAGTATGTGTCAAAAGCCTTGAAAACATATAAACTATTTGACAAAGAGATTGTACTTCTAGGAATTTATCCTAAGAAAAATTCTGGTCAATGCTCAAAGATGTACATTTGAAAATGTTTATGGAGGCGTTTCAGTAAAAAAGAAAGACAGAGAAAGAGAGAGAGAGAGAGAAAGAAAATTAACTCTAGTCATAAATGATTGATTATAAATTATGAAATTAGAATAAATGCAAGCCATTAAATCATGATTGAACTTTATTGATATGAAAATATGCAAGTAACATATTAATGCAGTAAAAGGGTCTGATGTTTATATGTATATGTGTGTGTGGGCATAATATACCTGAAAGGTTAACTCTGAAATATTAGGGGTGCTTGTCTCTGGGGAATGGGCTTAAGATTTTTTTTTTACAGCTCGTACACATTTTCTAAGTATTTAATAGTAAACCTGTATTAATAATATAATGAGAGGAGAACAGTTAGTATCTTTAAAACTGAAATAAATCATTGGACATTCAAAATGAAGCCACTTGTGTTAACTTAGGTTCAGCTGCAAGGGACAAAAAGCCCCAAATAAGTGGCTTCTATAAGATAGAGTTCCTTTCTCTCTCATATAAAGTTGGAGGATGTCATTCAAGGTTGTTACGGTGGTCTGTGTTGCTATAGATCCAGAATCCTTCTACCTTTTTGCTCCACCTTGCATCACTTCCATTCCCCAAATTGCCTCCTGGACTAAAATGGCTGCTGTAGCTCTAACTCTTACATCCATATTCCAAACAGCAGGAAGGAAAAAAATAGAAAGTTTCTGCTTTCATTTCATAGACCAGTGTATATATATAATTACATGGTCAAGATGAGCTTCAAGAAAGGGAAAGAATGTCCTTTTTTTTGTTTTTGGTGGCCATAAAATTTTTCTTAGTTTGTAAGACAAGAAGAACAGATATGTGGAGACCCCTGCCCCTGCCACACTCCCCTAAGGACTTCACCCTAGGATTCATGGTTCTGGATATCCCACCATGTGCCTCACGTAGCTACTGTTACATTAACCAATCCAAATGTTGTTGTATAATTCAGGGAACTAAAGAGAAATGGACCATGTTTGCATTTCCTTCACTTTATTTCACACAAAGAACTGACCTTGAGAGAGCACTTTTACTAACAGTTAAATTGATTCATTTGATTTTAGTCTATTGGAAAAAAAATCATTTAACAGAGAAAATTAGTCTGCTCCTGATGAAAGCAAATATGTGCCCCAGGGATCCTTTGCTCCATGGTAAGAGAGTAGAGGATGCTTGTACAGAGGGTTCCTACCTCGTGACTGGCGGGATTGCTTTTGTCTTTTCTCCTTAAAAAGAGACTCCCAGACATTTGACAGATACTTTAAAAGGCACTTATGCATGTTTGCATCTCAACCAATGTATGTATTCTCAGAATGAGCCTATTTGTGATGGATGTGCTTGATTCTACCACTAAACTTACCTTTTAAGATTCATTCTAAAGGGAATCAGAATCCTGTAAATGGACAGCTGAGAAGAACCATTTGTAATTGGCATCTTGGATCAGAGAATTTTTGTGTAAATGTGCACCGCCATTTTGTCATTTTAAAAATACACGTATGGCCTATGAATTTTGGCATTTGTCACTCTCCGCCTCCCTTATTTTATAGAGGGCAAGTTTTCTTTCTGCAAATGATCTACTACCTCTGTTACCAGGAGTTTGAAATTATAATGATAAATCCTAGGTAATGGGATCTTTGCATCATCTCATGTTTCCATCAACAGTTACCCTTTTGAACACAGACAGGGTCAGACGAACACAAAGACATAAATATGGCAAAGAAAATGTTTATGTCTGTGAGATAGTGAGCTCAGGGTGGAATAAAACAGTGAGTGCTTGTAGTTGGTGTCTTTTCTTAGAAAAATAAAAATCCTTAATTCTACCCTATTCCACCATGCCCCTGCATGCACACGTAAGGAAAAGAGAATATATATTAGTGGGAAAATATTTATAAGTGGTACATGCTTTCCAGTGTAGTATATTATTGATAGATAACTAATTTTTAAAATAAATCTATTTATTGATTTGTTTATTTTTGGCTGCATTGGGTCTTCATTGCTGCACGTGGGCTTTCTCTAGTTGCGGCGAGCGGGGGCTACTCTTCGTTGTGGTGCACGGACCTCATTGCAGTGGCTTCTCTAGTTGTGGAGCATGGGCTCTAGGTGCGCGGGCTTCAGTAGTTGTGGCTTGCAGGCTCAGTAGCTGTGACTCGCAGGCTCTAGAGCGCAGGCTCAGTAGTTGCGGCACACGGGCTCAGTAGTCATGGCACACGGGCTTAGTTGCTCTGCAGCATGTGGGATCTTCCCAGACCAGAGCTTGAACCCATGACCTCTGCATTGACAGGAGGATTCTTAACCACTGAGCCACCAGGGAAGCCCCTAGATAACTAATTTTTAAGGTGGTAGAATATGAGTAAGATAACCTACACATCCAGCAACCTGGATGTCTAATTCAATGACTGTCAGATTTTAGCATCCTGTACTATCCTGAATTTCATCATTTATGTCTTTTAAGCCAAAAGAAACTACTTTTTCCCTTCATAAATATGTATACATAAAATTTCTGCTGAGCAGATTAATTGTGGCTTACACAAGCTAATTTCACAAAGTCTTTTAAGTGATTTGTAATTCTCCTACCATTAAAATAACATTCCCGGACTTCCCTGGTGGCGCAGTGGTTAAGAATCCACCTGCCATTGCAGGGGACACAGGTTCAAGCCCTGGTCCAGGAAGATCCCACATGTGATGGAGCAACTAAGCCCATGCACCACAACTACTGAGCCCGCAAGCTACAACTACTGAAGCCCGCACACCTGGAGCCTGTGCTCCACAACAAGAGAAGCCACCGCAATGAGAAGTTCACGCACTGCAACAAAGAGTAGCCCCTGCTTGCTGCAACTAGAGAAAGCCGGCACAGAGCAACGAAGACCCACTGCAGCCAAAAATAAATTAATTAATTAAAAAAATAAAATAAAACAACATTCCCCTCTTTCCCTATGCTAAATGCACATTATATTATTTATCCTGAGAATATTTTTCTATTGGTTCAGTGAGAACTGTCTACTAAATAAAGATAAAAGTTTACCACTTTTTGTAAAAACACACCACGCTTTGGAATTCTAATTTTCATTTTCTCTGAGATGTTATATACAATAATCAACATAATGGGGATAAAATACCTACTTTTAAAGTCTTGTGGAGAAGAATATTTGGGCAGTTATATGCAAAGCATATGTAAGGCAGAAACGGCCTGATGCATAGCAAGTGCTCAATTAATGCAAGCTATAATCTTTATTATGATTATTCACTTAAGTTTGCAGTGTTAAAATGGAATGACTCATGTTCTAAATATAAAGCCATAAGAAGACAAATCTTTGATAACAAAGAAAACGTAAAAAGCTGCAGACAAAGTTAGAGTTCTTGATGTTCCATCGTAAGTGTCTCTGACTCATTTCTCCTTTGTCTTGAAGATGTTTCATGAAGACTCCGCCGGCGGGTGGCAGCTGGTAGCCGTAGACGTCAACAAACCCCAGGGACGTGCCCCAGCTTGCCTCCAGGTGTGGTATGATGCCATTTCTAAAAGTCACCCCCAAAGGTCTTTGATTTGATTTTATACGAGGAAATCTACAGCTCTCCAAGCTCTAGATCCACCCAAATTTGTGGGCAATATTACACTCCATCCTGTATTCCCGGGACCTGGCATCCTTTTTAGATACACACTAGGGATTTGGTAAATTTCTGGTAAATGAACGCACACAGGTAAAAGCAGGCCAGTGGTAATGAATTGATGAAGAATTTTGTTGTCTCATTAAACCTTGTAAAGGTATTCTTCTGCAAAGGCCTGAATTGTTTGGGGCCGGGGGCAGTCAAGATCACAATTCACTTACTTGAGTACCTCACCATGTACGCAGGAAGGAAATGTCTTGAATATGTAGTCTGTTGTTCTGCGTCTGCAAGCTCTCCGAGCAGCGTGGTATAATAAAGGCACTTCCTTAACAAAGTGCACCTGCAGCAGACACAAGGCGATGGGATTGCAGGGGAGCCCAAAGTCCTGGCAAGTGACCGGAGGATGGGCCATGAGGTCTCTGGCCTGTGAACCTTCTGGACTTACCTTCTGCTCTGAGCTCCCCAGAAAACCTAATAAAATCCTTTTTTTCAGTGGACCACAGAGGCCTCTTCTCTTTCATGTGCCCCCTCCCTGCCCACCAATAGCAGTAACTCATTCAAAACAACATCACCTTAACAAGAGCGGCATCCCTGCCATTCCAGGGCTTTTTATATTTCCATTTCCCTCCTCTTTAAGGGTGAAAACTCAAGCTGTCCCATGTTGGGAGCAGAAAACTGATTCTTCCTCCTGGAGAATTTTCTTTTCTTCACCCTCTTTCTGTTTTCAGTTGTAAATCCTCTTCCTACAAGGGGACTGCTTCTTATAGTTTTTCATATCCCCCCCTCTAATTTGGGGAAGGGTTTATCACCTACTTCAGGATGAGAACACATCTTCTGTCTTTCTTTTGGATCTTTCTCCAGGTGGGGACTGGTGCATTTCAAGGATTGGTACATAAGTAGCAAAATACTGTTCTCTGAACCTCTCCTGTGGGCTACATCTATATGGCTGTTTAATCATACAGTTATTTGTTTGTATCCATTAAAAGGATAGAGCAGGGGCTTCCCCGGTGGCGCAGTGGTTGAGAGTCCGCCTGCCGATGCAGGGGACACGGGTTCGTGTCCCGGTCCGGGAGGATCCCACATGCCGTGGAGCGGCTGGGCCCGTGAGCCATGGCTGCTGAGCCTGCGCATCCGGAGCCTGTGCTCCGCAACGGGAGAGGCCACAACAGTGAGAGCCCCGCGTACCACAAAAAAAAAAAAAAAAAGGATAGAGCAGAAAAAGAGGAAGAGTTTACAATGAACACTGATAATGTTAAGTACTATTCTCTGCTTCTCTTTCTGTCGTATATTGGATGGTGACAATGCTGCTAATAATTCAACTTCTGTAGCTACCTCTACTACTACTATTACTGTCATAGCAATAACAATGACAACCATTGTAGTAGCAGCAGCTTCTTGCCTAAAAAGTACTCTTACTTACATTATTCATTAACCCACCAACCGATATTTACTGACACAAAGATGGTCCTGAGCAAGAGAAGCCCAGCCCCTCCCCTCGTGGAGCTTACAGGGTACTTCAGGCAGTGAGGAGAAAACCCAGCTTTGAACTAGCAATCACAGGAGTGATGGGCGTTTGGAAGGAGTAATGCAGGATGCTATGGGAGTATGTAATTTGGAGTCCGCTCTCCTTGTCTGAGAGTCAGGGGAGGTCCTCGTGAGGTAGTGGTACTTTAACATAGACTGAAAGCATGAGGCAGGGAGTGAGGAAGGGTGAGACTCAGTACAGCCCTGTGCTGCGGAAAGATTGGCATCCTCTATGGGCCTTTGTAGAGGTGAAGTGGAGACCCAGAGGGCCGCCTGAGTCTCCTGACCTCAAACAAACAGAGAAACCAGGACTTTTACCTGGTCTTCTGGTTCCTGGTCCCATGCTCTATCTAGCTGAAAAAATATGCCAAGGAAACATTCATTTGTAATAGAAATCAACGACCAGGCCTGTTAGGAGTACCAAATCAGGGTCTTCCTATGCCCCAAATGCATTGCTTAAAATTTTAGTAAATGCTTGTTAATAGATGCCTCAAGGTTGCAGTCTGGAATTAGGAAGCGAGCCTCTATATCAAAAAGATTTGAGGGGCTTCCCTGATGGCGCAGTGGTTAAGAACCCACCTGCCAATGCAGGGGACATGGGTTCGAGCCCTAGTCCAGGAAGATCCCACATGCCACGGAGTAACTAAGCCCGTGTGCCACAACTACTGAGCCTGCACTCTAGAGCCCATGAGCCATAACTACTGAAGCCTGTGCGCCACAACTACAGAAGCCCGTGTGCCTAGAGCCCATGCTCCGCAGCAAGAGAAGCCACTGCAGTGAGAAGCCTGCACACTGCAAAGAGTAGCCCCCGCTCGCCGCAACTAGAGAAAGCCCGCGCACAGCAACAAAGACCCAACACAGCCAAAAATAATAAATAAATGAAAGAAATAAACTTATTTAAAAAAAAAAGATTTGAGATGGCAAGAGCTAGATGGCAATGAAGGTGTGATGGAGGGGCAGCACGGAGCAGGGACATAGGGAAATAAAGGTCAGCAGAGCGGGGTGGATGTTAGGCTAGCCCTGTGTGGATGTGGCGTCTGGGAGACGTGAGTATTAGGCATGTATGGTGGGTGTGGCAGCATGCTTGGTAAGTTGTATGGTTGATGGTACATGTGGTTTGAGACAATGAGAGAAGGAAGGCAGACAATTCAGGATGAGGCTCCATGCAGCTCAGCGTCCCATCTTTGGTCCTGATGCTTTCCAGAAAGAGCTGATCTGTAAGAGTACAGATGAAAAGTGGGATGGCCAAGGGGTCACCTCTTTGTATTGGGCATGACGTGAGCTGTGACTAAAGAGAGAGAGTACATTTCCATGTCTGGGTGAAAAATGAATTAATTATTAACTTATTAAAGAGAAAGAAAGTAAGTAAAGAAAAAGTACTGAAGATACAATGGTCGTGAAATACTCACTTGGCTCTTACTAATGATTAATGCCGTCTAAAACTAGTTAACAGGAAAATTTTCATCTGAACCATACCTCACTCACTGCCTTGGATTATAATATCTCACTCAAAGACAAACTGTAGCATATATTACTCCTTTTTATTTTTATTCTTTCTGTTTGTTTTCTTTTTTATTGAAATATAGTTGATTTACAATGTTGTGTTAGGTACAGCAAGGTGATTCAGTTTTATATATATATATATATATAAACATACATATACATATATATTCTTTTTCACATTCTTTTCCATTATAGGTTATTACAAGATATTGAATATAGTTCCCTGTGCTATACAGTAGCTGTATATCTATTTAATATGTAGTAGTATGTATCTGTTAATCCCAAATTCCTAATTTATCCCTCACCTGCACCCCCTTTGGTAACCATAAGTTTGTTTTCTGTGTTGGTAAGTTCATTTGTATCATTTTTTTAGATTCCACATATAAGTGATATCATATGGTATTTGTCTCTCTCTGTCTGACTTACTTCACTTGGTATGATAATCTCTAGGTCCATCCACGTTGCTGCAAATGGCATTGTTTCATTCTTTTTTATGGCTGAGTAATATTCCATTGTATATATGTACAATGTATTGTATATATGTACCACATCTTGTATTGTATATATGTACCACATCTTCCTTATCCATTCCACTGTTGATGGACACTTAGGTTGCTTCCATGTCTTGGCTGTTGTAAGTAGTGCTGCAATGAACATTGGGGTGCATGGATCTTTTTGAATTAGAGTTTTCTCTGGATATATGCCCAGGAGTAGGATTGCTGGATTATATGGTAGCTCTATTTTTAGTTTTTTAAGGAACCTTCGTAGTGTTCTCCATAGTAGTTGCACTAGTTTACATTCCCACCAACATTGTAGGAGGGTTCCCTTTTCTCCACACCCTCCCCAGCATTTATTATTTGTAGCTATTTTGATGATGGCCATACTGACTGGTGTTAAGTGGTACCTCATTGTAGTTTTAATTTGCATTTCTCTGGTAATTAGAGCTATTGAGCATCTTTTCATGTGCTTGTTGGCCATCTGTGTGTCTTCTTTGGAGAAATGTCTATTTAGGTCTTTCTGCCCATTTTTGGTTTGGGGTGTTTGGTTTTTTGATATTGAGCTGCATGAGCTGTTTGTATATTTTGGAAATTAAGCCCTTGTCGGTCACTCTTTTTATTTTTAAAACGAGCAAAATGTGAGTGTGTTCTTCTAAAATGACTTTTAAACTGTAGAAATAAAATAAAAAGTAAGAGTTTGCTTTAACTTCTTCCAACTATCCTCCCTCATTCCACTTCCCAGAGGTAACCTAGCGGCCAGCGTTAGAAGCCAGTCTCCTAAGACCCTTTACCCCTGAATTTAAACATTATAGCTCTTCTATAAAGCAGCATTTCTGCCTCCCAGAGGCCCTGTCATTTTCACATAGTGTTTCCTCTTTCTAGAACACTCTTCTCTCGCACTCAGAGTTCAGAATTCAGCTCAGATGTCACTTTCTTAAGGAAGCCTTCTTCGTCCTCAAAGAAACAGATCAGGTAGCCCAGTTATATGTGCCCATATCCTCCTATGCTTTTCTTTTGTGTTTATCATAATTTTAATTAAAAAAATTTTAATGGTATAATTTGTTATTTAATGTCTGCTTTTCCAACCAGAGGAAACTCCATGACAATAAGAATCATAACGGTCATGGTCAGCATGTGAAATAAATACATCTGTGTTTAGAAATGTAATCTTAGGAATAACAGTTGAAAAGAATCAAAACCAATTCCTACCTACTAAAAAAGTAGAATTTGTAGGAATGAAGCATTTGAACAGCTGTAATTAAATGGAGTTAGTGATTTGGCCATTTGTTGAAAAAGATTGGAAGAATGAGGTAGAAGCAGTATCTGAGATGGTAAACGAGTGACCGGGAGTCCCCACTTGGGTATTA